TGGACAGAAGAATGCGATGATTCCTTTCAAAGCCAAAAACAAACATGGGAGCTGCACCTATCGCACTCACAGAGGTTGAGACGCGATATCCCATTATCGAGAAACTAACTCTAACCTTGGTGGTATTGGCTCGGTGTCTACGTCTGTATTTCTAGGCCCACCCCATCTTGATTCTCACCAACCAACCCTTCCAACAACCCTTCCAACATCCAGGACCATGGCCATCAAGGTTATTCATCGAGGATACCTTTGGCCTTCCTTAAAGATCAATGCCCAACACCGCGGCTGAACTCTTGCCTAAGGTCATGTTGGCCTACAGAACTACACAATGCACCTCAATGGCCAAAACTCCTTTTCCCCTGACATGTAGGATATAAGAGGTCATAGTATTCCTATGTTTTTACATCATTGCCACTAAACTTCATATTTTATTTATAATTTATTTCAAGCATTCTATTAACTATCATAATTGTAATTAATACTCCCTATTCATTTGGTGAGGTAAGTTGAATTTGAAGAGTGTAAGCCAAATTTACTATATTTTTTTATACAAATTTATAAATAAACCTAATCCTAGACATGTATTTATAAAAAAAAACCCAAGCACTATTTAAACATAGAAACACACCCAAAATCAACCCCAAAGTCAACAATTGTATATTTTTTGGGTGTGTTTATAAATGGGTTTTGAGTGTGTGTAATGATGGGTTTTGGGTGTGTTTATAAAGTATTTTGGGTGTTGGGTTTTTTTATAATTTCAGCTCTCATTTTGGGTGTTTTAGTGAAACTCTCTATTTTTTATTACTGTTTTGATTGTTTTATGTCTAATTCTATTGTAATAGTATTTCTTTTCTAGTATTGTCTATTTTGCTAATGAATAGAAATGGTGGCCATGGCAAGAAAAGGAAGGAGTCGCAATACATCATCAACCAATGAACATAGAGAGTTACTTAGATCCTCTGCAGTCCAAGTCCAATATGCCTCAGTTGAACCATCTCATGATAATGAAGTACAAGAACCTCAAGAGACATGCTTTGAGACTCAACCTTCAAATACCCAAGGTATAGCTTATATTATTTCAAAACTATAAATAATATTATGTTATTAATTGTTGCTCTTAATTAGGATTAAGTGCTGGAAAAAAAAAAGGCAGAGGGAAGGCCAAGGGAGGAAAAGGAAAGGGTATGCTAATTGAAATATATAACAGAAGGTAAATATATACACTACTTATTGTTACCAATAGTTATTCTAGTTATTTCTTAGACTTCGACGAGTGTAGCTTAATTAATTATCACTTATTAGTTTATTTGATGGCATATAAAGTACTTTAATGATTTCAATTTCCTCCAGCATTGTAACCAAAGAAGCTGCTCGGAATATAGGTGTACTTTTCAAGCAAGAGATTAAAGGAGCTTGGGTAAAATTTTCAGATTATCCGAAGACGTAAGGAAATCTATTATTTAAGCGTTTCATCGAAGCTGGATATACTTACACATGTTCTGAGGAAGAATTGAAGGTTGCATTCACTGGACATATTAAAAAAATATTTGCTGACTAGATGTGGAAGTGAGAAGGCCAATTTTCCAAAAGTACAAAAGTGTAACATCCCACATCGACCAACGAAGAGGGGGTGATGTGCCTTATATGTACATGACGGCCTCCATCTAGCACGAGGCATTTTGGGAGCTCACTGGCTTCGAAGTCATGGGAACTCCGAAGTTAAGCGAGTTGGAGCTAGAGCAATCCTAGGATGGGTGATCCACTGGGAAGTTACTCGTGAGCTCCCAGAAATAAAACCGTGATAGTAGAGAGGAGGGGCCAGAGCACACAATATCATGCTACGGCGGAGCCGATTCCGGGATGTGACAATTTGGTATCAGAGCCACTCTGCCGTGTGGTGCGAGTGTGCTGAAGAGGACGTCGGGCCTCTAAGGGGGGTGGATTGTAACATCCCACATCGACCAACGGAGAGGGGATGATGTGCCTTATATGTATATGCAACAACCCGATCCTTAATTAATATTTAATTCTTAATTTATTCCAATAAAAGACCACTATATCCCTAGAATATTTTACTGGTATAAAAGTTGACTTTTTGACCGGGAAGGAATTTTGGGATTTCAGTTATACCGTTGTGTAGAGCACAGAGAGATGAGTCCGTAGACACGTAGTGGACTCAAATCGAAGTTGTAACGAAGGAGTTACGATTAAAAGAAGTTCAGTGGCATAACCGTAAATATTTCGAAGTTTAGATTTTATAAACCCAGAAATTTCTGGATTCGGGGAGGTTGGAGCAGCTGACTTTGGGAGTTGTTTTCTCTCAGTTCCGACCCCCGATTCAGGCAAGACCAATGCCAAACGAACCACCAAACTTCCCTCTTCCAGTCCCAGCCCTTCATCGCCTCGATCCGCCGCCATAGTCGCCGGAATCCGCCACGAAACAGGCAGTGCTGGACAGTTTTTGACAGAACTTCCAACATTTCGTTCTTTGTCGTCCGGCCACCAAATCGAACGAGTGAGGTATGGTTTTCTAGCTATTTTTCATGCTCTAGCTGCTGGTTAGATAGGATTTCAGAAATTTCGAGCGTAGATAGCTCGATTTACGAGTTAGGTTTTAGCTGGTTTTGAGAGCACAGTTTCGGCCAGTTCTGGCCACTTTTTAGGTTATGTCCAAGAACAAAAGTTGTTCCAAATGGGTGTTTTACCTAAGTTAGGAGTTTAGGCCAGCGGTTCGGAGTTTTTCCAGTCGCCGAAAATTGATCAAGCCACCCACGCGCAGTCGGTGCGTGGGCAGATTGGTGGAGACCACATTCAGTTTTAGAATGATCCTTGTGTCGTCACGAGCGCGTAGGATTTCACGGATCTCAATTTGGTTAACATTTGAACCCATAACGGATCTCGCATCTTGTGTGATTTTCGGGTTTAATAGTTTTGCAGAGTTGAATCGTAACCATTTTTAGATAGGTTAATCTAAAAGTTCCCAGGATCATATAATATTTGACGGATCGTAAAACGGAGTCCCGAATACTCCAGGAATGTCAACCCTAGAGCGAGTTTTACAGTAAGTAAACCAGTTACAGATAAACGAACCAGTTGCAAATCAGGAACAGAGGAAAGAACTACGTGTGGCTTGATCCCTTAGTAAGGGGACGTAGGCAGCCTAGGGTAGTGCCTAGGTGTAGCCTCAGGCATAACCTTACTCACTTTGTTTTTCTACGTGTGGTGCACCAGGTGTCAGTTTTAAACAGGTTTCGACCCGGATTCCAAAGTGGAAATTGGGTCAGGTCGTTTCAGTACATGCCCGCCTCCATCTAGCACGAGGCCGTTTGAGAGCTCAATGGCTTCGGAGTCATAGAAACTCCGAAGTTAAGCGAGTTAGGGCTAAAGCAATTCTAGGATAGGTGACCTACTGGGAAGTTGCTCGTGAGCTTCCAGAAACAAAACCGTGAGGGCAGAAAGGAGGGCTCAAATAGGACAATATTGTGTTACGGCGGAGCCGATCCCGGGATGTAACAAAAAGCACTGGTCAGAGATATGCAAACTGCCCAAAGAATGTACCTGATCCTGCAATATGATGGTTTTGTGAAAACAAACTGAAACCTTAGTGGGCGATTAGTGTAAATAACTCTTCAAATTTTTCATTGTTTTCATCATCTCGATATTATTGATATTATAGCAATATTTTGGTCAAATGTTGCTGAAGTGTGAGAGAAATTATCGACATCGATATTTTCCGATATTATCGTTGAAATTATCGATACTTATACAATATGTGTATGGAGATGGTCACCGTTGGCAAAAAAAACTTACCTATAACAGGGATAACACTGTTTTGTTATCCCCCTCCAATAACACAATGACACGTGGAAAAGTTATCCTATATATCATTGCGTTATTGGTCAGGGATGGCAAAAAGTGCTATCCCCCGTTACATATGAGTTTATCTTCACCGTTGGAGATGCTCCTACCTTGGAGAAATTATAGAATGATAGCGTACCACCATGTCAGCCGATGATACTCTCACTCAAAATTTGACATGTATACAACTTTTTAAAGAAAAATTTAAAATCTACATAGCTAGATTTAAAATCCCTTTTTAAATTTAAATTTAAATTAACAAAAATGGAAATATATAAAATAAATAAATAAAATTTCCCCCCTTTCATTGAACTTGCCCCCCACCCCCACCTTTCTGCCATGGTTGCAGCTAGTCTTTCTTTTTTCATGTTTTTGTGCCTTTCTCCCTTCCCCTCCCTCTTCCTCCCTCCTCTCTATTACGGGTAGGGTTCAAGGAATTTGGATTGAAACTTTCTTGGGGGTGAGTTTATGGTCTTTGAGGAATCCAAGCTTTCAACATATATCAAGAGCAAAATCAAAGTTTTTCTCTTGATTGTGAAACTCGAAGGATTCATTTGCCATGGGCTATCATCATATTCACATATAGAGAGTCAGATAGTCATGACAGGGGCTTCGTTGTCGTCGATGAGGCAAATGATATTTGGGTTTTTATTTTTCTTTCTTTTTTATTTGTAAGTTTTTAAAACTCTTTTAAATTTATTTTTAAGGGTAAAAATGAATACTAAATCCAGTTGTCAAAAAGTTATACACATGTCAAATTTTGAATGGGAGTATCACCAGCTAAGGCCTCGTTCAGTAACGTTTTCAGAGAATGGTTTTTTAGAATATTTTCAGAGAATGAAAGCAAGAAAACGAATTTTCATTTCCTGAAAATGCGTTTGGTAGATTAATTAGAAAACATCTTCAGAAAACAAAAACAATGAAAACATGTCTGGTAGTACAATTTGAAATAATAATATGTGAGTTATTTTTATGAAAATGTTTCCATGATAATGAAAACAACTTTTTTCTGTTTTCTACAAGTATGCATGAATTTGTTTTCATTTTATGTGACTAATGAAAACATTCACAGTATTTTCTGTTTTTGGGCCATAGATCCATCAACACCATCCCGCGCTTATTCAAAGCGGAAGCAACATAAACAAACGGACTTCACTATCCGAGTGGAGTGGGTGGGTTCCCATGCTCTGTTCGTTTCCAGTTCCTCCCATTTCCCAAATGTCGGAGCCAATCATTCTCTCCGATGAAGAAGACCAGAATGCCCTCTCAACCCCATTCCAACCATTCCACTGTAAGAAACGCCGAACCCAACTGGACCCAAACCCAATCCCTACGGTTCTGGTCCTCGACGACGACCCGACCCCACAGAAGCAGCCCGGCCCCACCTCCACTCCTGACTTCGTCCCGGAGACCCCCATGTCTGATCTTGCAATTGTGAAATGCACCAAAGCCCCTTCCCACTTCCAAGCTAGGGTTTCAGACTCCGAGCACAAGTTCCCTGGTTGGTTGATTTGTGTTATTTCACCGATTTGAGTGCTTTTGGAAATTCTTATTTGCTATATTTTGTTTTTGTTTCAATTAATTATTTATGCGTTGCTTGTTATATTATGATAATTTTTACCTCTTTTTGGTTAAACTTGATTCAATTCAAAGTTTTGTTTGTTTGTCTTTATCATCAATACTGTTCTTCTGTATATTGAATCAGTTGTTTAGTGTTTTGCGTCAAGTTATTTGTGTGTGCGTATTAAGTGTTTTGGCATTACAGTTCTGTTACGGTCAATTGGAATATAGGTTCGACGATCACTTGGCATTATAGTTTTGGGTTCCATTTATCTGTTCTTCAAAATTTTAGTATTAAGCCCTAATGCTCAACTGTGAAATCCCTAAATTTGAGTAGACGGGAATTGGGAGATTGGTCAGTCACTGAAGATGGGAAAAATTGAGGAAGAAGTAATCAGCTTTTATAAAAGGGTTTATACAAAAGAAGAAAACACAACTTGGTTAGAGAGACCTTTTCAGGACGATGAGATGATGAAGGCAATTTGGGACTGCTGCGAGGATAGTCACTCGGTCCCAATGGTATTTCTACAGCAGTTTATCCAGTGTTGCGCTGTGTTGATGGTGGACTTGATGAAGTTTTTGAGGAATTTAATAGAAGTGGGGTTGTCAATGAGATCACTAATGAAACGTACATTTGCCTTATTCCAAAGAAAACGGATGCATGCAAGTTTGGAAAGGTTTTGCATCAAGCTTGTACAAGATTATCTTGAAGGTTTTGGCTCTGAGATTGAAGCAAGTATTAGGGGATACAATTTCGTTCCGGTCAAGAAGCTTTTGTTAAAGGAAATTTTGTTAAGGGAAGGCAGATATCAGAGGTGGTCCTACTGAATCTGTAATGGTGGAGGAAGTGAGAAAGTAGAAAGATGGGCTAGTCTTTAAATTAATTTCCAAAAAGGGGATGTACGCAAGTTTTGAAAGGTTTGGCATCAAGCTTGTACAAGATCATCTCGAAGGTTTTGGCTCTGAGATTGAAGGAAGTCTTAAAGGATACAATTTCCTTATGTTCAAGGAGCTTTGGTTAAAGAAAGGCAGATATCAGAGGTGGTCCTAATGAATATGTAGTGGTGGAGGAAGTGAGAAAGTAGAAAGAAGGGCTAGTCTTTAGGTTGATTTCAAAAAAGCTTACGACCAAGTGGATTTGAATTTTTTTGGATTTTGTGTTGGGGAAGAAGGGTTTCGGGAGTTTGGAGGAAGTGAATGAGGACTGTATGAAATTTGTTAATTTTTCTGTAATTATTTTCCTTTAGTTGCTGACATTTTGAGCGTTAATGTTGAAATCTTTGTTTAGTTTGCAATATTAAACATAAATATATATATATATATATATATCAAAAAAGATACGGCAGTCAGAACAGCTTCAGCCCAAAATAAACTAGGGACAGAAGCTGAGTTTGCTTTTTTATTTTTTTTCCGACTGGAAGAGCTGCTGGAGCTTCCCTCCCAAGGCGACTCTTTGTAGGATCCTTTTATAAAGGGATCCGAAGCCCGGGTGAGCCTAGACGAAAAATAACCCGATGGAATTAGCAGTATTTGGGATCTCCTACTCGTTCCACCTCATCTGGTCTCTTAAGTTCGGGAAACTCGATCAACCCTTGCTAATCCAATCCAGTAAGAAACAAAGTGGCTTGATCAAAGGTTTTGAGATTTCTCTTCTCTTGTTTGTCTCTTAGGTATACCTTTAGCGAAGCGTTCAACAATACCATCGCCATCGGCTGACCCCAATGAAACCATTTCTACAGCAACTTATATATATATATAATTTTTTCTTTCACAGCCATACTGCTCGGTGTTAACTTTGACCTTACTGGCCTTTTGTTTACATTCAGGTGTTAATGGACTGATATGTTTGGAATCTGATAATGAGCCTGAAAGTGGTCATGCAAGGAAAAAGGGGAAGGAGATTGAATCCATCGCTAGTGGGTGTGATGTGGTGAAGGACTTAGATTGGAGGTTTAGTTTTGTCGAGTCCACATGTTCTCTTGGTATGTTTATGTTGTATCTGGCATTCCTTTGGTTAAGGTTGGGTGTTTGCCTTTATTTATTTTTTTTGAATTTGAGAATATTTAACAAAATGATCCACTCCCTGGAATATGTTATCCTTTTAAAATGGACTCATTAAATACATGTTTATCAGGAGATGCTGAGTTAGCACATATGTCTGAGGGGAATTTTTCACAATCTACTTTGCAAGATGATATTGATCAGGTATTTTGTCCCAATGCATTGTGGTAATTTCCTGTTTTTACTTTTATTTAAATATTATCTATTTTATGGCTGTGGACAAGAAACACCTTTGGCTTCTATTCCCAGTTAGGGTCAGAGGTTATAATTTCTATATGTGCAATTGACATTCTGGTCTTTCATGTTTAATAATTATGCTTGATAATTCAGAGACATTCTTCTAATTACAAGTGTGTTTTATTTTGTTAATTTCTATAGGAGGCTGAAGTAGAACAGCCCGTAGGTATTAGATTAAGCACTCAAACAATAGAACATAGAAGAATATAAGAGATCGAGGAGACGAAAATATAGATCGAGGTGACGAAAGGAAGGGCAGAACAGTAGAACAAGAAGAATATCGGAGGTCGAGGAGACGAAAATATAGATCGAAGGGACGAAAGAAAGGATCGAAATCAGAGAACCGAGAAGGAAGGACAGAAATCACATAGTTTTAAGAGAAGGTGTACTCAATATCCAAATCTGAATTTTGAAGAGCTACATGGGGGTATTTATAGCAAACTAAAACCTAGACATAATAGGATAAAAATTCCTTGCTTAAACAGAAATCCTAACTCAAATAAAATAGAAAACTTAAAACTAGAAATCTGGAAATCTGGAAAAGTAGAAATCCTACTGGAAATTGGAAAATTAGAGAATCTAGGAAACTAACAAATATATTAGGAAACTAATAAATTTAGGCCCTATGCATCCTGCATCAGAGGCATTGCATTTTCTAGAATTTAGGCATTACATGGTTCCAAACGGTACCGACTTGAAACATTACTTAAGTACTTAGTTATCTTTTACTCATCCAAAACTTGACGAGTTTTAAATTATTCTGATTTGGATGTGAAGACTACTTGAGGAAGACATTTCAGATAGGACTAATGAAAATTTAGTTCAAGAAAATGTGGATTGCAATGGATGTTATGGAAGTCTTAACCATTTATAAAAAACATGGAACTTAAAGCATATTTTCGTTTGGTAGTTTTTGTATATAAATTAGTACAGAATTTTTTTAAAAATAAGTAAAAAAATATTAATAACCTTCTAAAAACACCAACTTGTGGACACGTACCAGCGGAGAAAAAAGGTTGTGGACATGTTGTCCACTGCATACAAGATAATAAGCACAGCCCGCCAATCTGCAAGGATAACAGCGAGCTAAATCCCAAAACTCCAATGCACCATAGTGAAGTTGAAAATCTTACTCTATCCAAAGAATCTCTTTCCCCTAATCTCTATATATTTTAAAACATTCTTTTGCTTCTTTCCAACCAAATCACCCATAGCTTCCAACACCTCACAGTTTTAGATCATCTTTGCTCTTTTCCTCCCTCAATCTGGTGGAATAACTCAGCTCAGTTATGCCTCCTTAAACAATCTCCTCCACAAATTTACAGCTCATGAGAGAGTTTCTAGATCCTCTGCATTTCTGTTTACCAATCAAGAAAAATGTTCTCTGTACTTTATGATTTCGTCAACTGTAGCTGAAGTTTTCTATAAGCTGTTTTGCTTATAACATATTGACATTAACAGTCCAACTGTAGTACCAGTCTTGCAGTATAACAATCATCTGGTTATGTCTAATTTCCCTTCTTCCACTTTTTCTTGCACTCGATTGTCTAAACTTAAAATGCATAATAGTTGGGAAAATCAAGCTATTTGTGGACAGCTTTCTGTTGTTTGTCATTCTTTTTTTGCGGGCATGTGCTCTCTGAATTCAATTATTATTATTGTGTATTCATGAGACCCCGTAATGTTTCACTTCTTAATGTGCTCATTTTTAAGGAGGTGTGGTGTGGTGTTGAAGAGGAAATCACTTTTTAATTTCTGCTATTTCACACATCCAAATCCTCAAATGTAATGTCATGATGAGATTAGGTACTTGATTATCCAGAAAATAGAATGGATCAGATGGGAAACATCATGAAGCAGAGAAGGACTACAGCTGTTACTGATAAAGAAAACATTACAAAAGAGGCAACAGGAAGAAGGAAGCTGACAAAAGAGGAAAGAACGCGCTTAATGGAAGAAAAGAAGCTAAAGAAGATAGTAAGTTGTTCTTATGATCTGTACTGCATTTTTTCTAACAGAACAATAAGCTGATTGATATCCATGAAAAACAGCAAGAAAAATTGCAAAGAGAAGCTCTGAAAGCTGAAGCAGCAGAGATGAAAAAAATACAGAAAGAAAAGCAAAAGTGGGAAAAAGGGAAGTTTGCCCTAAAATCCATCGTGGCCGAGATTGATTCTAAAGTAGTGGAGTTGGGGTCAGTTGGAGGTGTGGTGTCATTTCTCTTTTTCTCTTGAAGTACTTCACGTGTGTTTGTATCTCATATCCATTTATATCTGGTAGCTGAGAACTTATTTAAACTTTATTGTAGGAAATTTGCTTACGAGGTTTGCTGAAAAGGGGCTAACATACCGTATAACATCAAATCCAATTGAAAGATCAATTGTCTGGACCATGACTGTCCCAGAACATATTTCACAGGTAATAGGTGTATGGAATGGATGATTTTCTGTATGCATCATCATGTCATCTCAGACTCTAGTAGTTTTCACAATGGGAAAATTAGTTGGAATTTAAAAATAAAAATAAATTCTGTATGGTTGAACATTATCAGCCTTTGTGCCCTTGTGGATTATAAGATTAGGTCAATTCATTTATTTTATAAAAATAGAAACCATAAAGTTAAAGGTTTATTGTGGGTGTATGCGTGGCTGGAAGGCTCACTATCAAAGGACCATGATGTAAAATGATTGATTACTATTGTGTTGCATCTTCATGGTTTATTTGAAGATCTTTCTTTAAAGATTTCATGAACGTCAGCCTCACAGATACTTTACATCTCACTATCTCAGAGGCATGCCCGGCATAACCACTAACCATTAGTGTCTCTTGTTGGAATATATGACAAAAATATTAATTTCTCTGCTAAGTAAATGAATTAGAATTTATTTTTTTGTGCATATATTGCTTCTGTGTATCGTTATAATTTTTTTTCACATACATTAACCGTAATATCTAATTGCAGTTTTCCCCTGAAGAAATAGAGATTCAATATATATTGCTCGTGTATGAAGCTGAAGAGTTTTGTAACCTTGTCATCAATGAATCTCTTTTGGATCATGCTTTTAGTGTTCGAAGTCGTTATCCATCGTATACAGTGTGTTATCTTACAAATAGGTTGATGGCATACATTAATAAAAGGTGAGGTTGCTGAAGATCCAAGGTTACCATTGTGCATCTGTAGCTCATTTACTTAGCTAAAGATATGCACTATAACTTGTATTGAATTTTTTTGGCTGCCATTTGACTCATTTCATCTTCTGAGAGTGTTATATGTTAAGTCTTTGAGGTATGCTGCATAATGGTTAACACGATTTAGATAAACATAGTTGATTACTTAGCTAAAAGCTTGAATGTTATTTTTCCTTTGAGTAAGTAATTAGAATTTTATTAAAATAGGAGCATGATGTAGTACAGCCCATAGGTATTAGATTAAGCACTCAAACAATAGAACAGAGTAGAATATAAGAGACCGAGGAGAAGAAATAGAGATCGAAAAGACGAGATAAAGGACAGAAACAGTAGAACAAAGAAGAATATCGGAGGTCGAGGAGACGAAAATATAGATCGAAGGGACGAAAGAAAGGACCAAAATGAGAGAACCGAGAAGGAAGAACAGAAATCACATAGTTTTAAGAGAAGGTTTACTTAATATCCAAATCTCAATTTTAAAGAACTACATGGGGGTATTTATAGCAAACTAAAACCTAGACATAATAGGATAACAATCCCTTGCTTAAACAGAAATCCTAACCCAAGTAAAATAGGACACTTAAAACTAGAAATCTGGAAAAGTAGAAATCCTACTAGAATTTGGAAAACTAGAGAATCTAGGAAACTAACAAATATATTAGGAAACTAATAAATTTAGGTCCTATGCTTCCTTCATCAGAGCAAGTGATAAGTAATTGGAACAGATTAATATAAAAGTCAAGCTTTGTTATCTCCCTGTTAAACAGATGGAGCTTATGCAATGTTCAATAAAATGTATATGCTGTTTGAGTATTATTGATTGATTATGATGTAGGATATGGGTGAATCGAGTATTTGGGTAGTTTAGCGGAAGCAAAAACAATGAAAAAACAAAAAATAGTTGGTAAAAGACGCCTTGGCTTCACACCCAGGAGTCTCCAATCTCTGGAAAGTAAGCTTTTCTTAATATCTCAAAACTCAACTTTAAAGAATTACATGTGGGGTATATATAGCAAAAAACCTAGAGACAATAGGATAAAAATCCCTTACTAAAATAGAAATCCTAGTCCACCAAGGAACTAATTCAAATAAACTAGGAAACTTAAATCAAATCCTACTAAAAATCTGGAAACTATAAGCCTAGTGAAATCTGGAAAACTAGAGAACCTAGGAAACTAATAAATCAGGAAACTAACTAATGATGTCCGCATCAGATTATAAATACCTGTTGTGTTTTGTTATATTGTAGAACATCACATGAAGAAAACTACTGCATGATGTAAAAAAAATTAAAAATTTGCCATTCAGTTCAGTGTACTTTTGATATGAACGATAGAATGTTTAGCTTTATTAGTGACATATACCTAACATTTCCTCATTTGTGTTATACGTAGAAAATCTTGAATGTGTTTTTGACATGCAATGGTATTTTCTTAGATTTTGTTGGAAATAAGTTTGTCTTTTTTATCTTTCATTGTATAAAATTTACAGTTTGTGTGCCAGTTGCTATCTTTATTTTCTGCTCTACTATAATATGCTAGTATGGATTTGTGCATACTGAAGATCTGCATCACATTGAATTTTTTACAATGTTAGGGAAAAAGAGCTGTACAAGAACCCGACAAATCAAAGTGGCCGGAGACTCCCACCTGTTGAGGAGGTTGAACTACTGACATTAAAAGGATTGCAAGACATTAATGCTTTTTGGCCGTTCATATATTTCTTGCAGAACAGTGGATCTTTAATGGTTTAGTGTCCTGACTTCTTCCCCTTTTAACAGGCGCTCGCAAAATTGACCACTAATTTTTTTAAAGTACACTCCAGGCAGTGCATGGATGAGGCTGAACTTGCGGAACATGTTGTTGGTCTAACATGCAGCCTGTCATCCTGCCAATTTAGGTATTTGTTGATTTTACTTTTCTAGGCCTTATATATGCTTCTACATTATACACTCTCATTTTCTTTAAAAAGTTGTGTCTGAGGATCACGTAGCTTACTCATGTTTCAAACTTCCAACTTAGTTTTTCTTTTTGTTTTATATTACCTAGAAAGTAATAGTCGTGTCATTTGGTACAGTTATTTTTTCATTGTAAAACGACAAATGCTCTCTCTTTCCATTGGAATTTTCACATTTTAACTGGTCAATATTTTGATTCTACCTTTTGTTTTATAAAATTGCAGAAAGAAGTTAACGAGACTGGATGTAAATGCTAATGGATCCCTTATCCCTAAGGACTGCCTTGACCGAAATTTAATTAAAAAGAGCCCATGGTGAGTATCGTGATGTTAACAGATTGATCATTTTACTAGAATTAGAAGATAGATAGCAGATTCAGAAGGCAGAAGTCTGGATTGTGAATAAAAATTAAAGATGTGACTTCGTATGATGAATGTAGCAGCCAGTGATAACGTGAAGCCTACTTTTAAGGATCTGAACTGCTTAGGGCCTGTTTGGGACACTTCTACTTGCTGGAAGCACTTTTGTTAGAAGCAAATCAAATTTTTTATTGAAAATCCAATTGCTTCGTGGAAATGTCTGGAAGTGCTTCCTTTAACTATTCTGTTATACATGGCCAAAACACTTTTGGTTTTGTGATTTCGCTTTTAGCTCTTCTAAAAGCACTGTCAAATAGACCCTTAAATTATTGTTGCCAGCACCAAAAGTAATGCATCATTTTAGAGTGTACAGATTTTATTCATCTCCTATGGTTGTTATGATAGTGGTTCTACTTATGTCATTTGATATACATTCTTATTTCCTCGAGGGGATATAGTATCTTTGAATTCACTTTCTGGACTGCAGGTCTAGATATAGGCCGGTGAGGTTGCTCTATCTCCTTTTGAGGATGGTTTGATCGGACAGAAAGGAGAAGAGGAACCATGATGAAAGTGAGAGGATAGAGAAACCTGCAAGCCTAATTGTCTAGTTAGTTGGGACTAATCCCCCTTCCTCCGAGCCCTCCAACCATTGCCCCCACAAAATTGACCATGGCCTTCTGAATTCAAACTGGATTTCTGGAATTCTAGGAATATTGATGACTTTGATTTGAACTAATCTCCCAAACACCAGCATGCAACAGTTTACTTGGTCTTTGTTTTTTTTTCTTCCTATTAGTGTTCTCAACTAATAATGCCAAAGCAATTTTGGTAGACACTAGGTAAAACATGTTGTTGAACAAGCCTTCTCTGTACAAACTAATATGATTTGTATGTTTTTCGTAAGTTTATCCATTTTATACGTGAGTACTTTATTTTTGTTCCTAATTAGTATCTGCATCCAGGTTAAAAGCTTTGGTAGCTATCCCTAAGGTACAGCCACGATTTGCTATTGCTATATGGAAGAAGTACCCTACCATGAAATCTCTTTTGAGTATTTACATGGACCCAAATATATCAGTAAGTATAGTATGCCTTTTTCTCTGAGTGTGTACACGGATCCAAATGTATCAATAAGTATGGGCTTCAATCTCTCCAGATTTTAGGGGCACTCCTTCTTTTGGAACTTTTTTGTTTTTGTTTTTTGTTTTGTTTCTTTACTGGTTCTATGCTATTTTAAAGGTTTTGATGCTGTTTTACAGGTCCCTAGTTCTTTGCTCCTGTGGACATGTTGTCTATTGTTTTGTGCTGTTGCTCTCTTGTTAATGACGTTTTGTTTCCCATCAACAAAATAAATAAAAATTGTGGACCGATACCTTAGTAAGCAAGTTAGTTTTGAACATAGCCTCACCCATTGGTCTTGTAGGAGCCTTGGGCTTGTTTGGAAGATGGAATCTGTAATTTTGGGTTACATCTGGCTACTAGTCTGTTTTGGGAAATGAAGAGAGATTAAGAAATGCAATGGAACTCCCAAGTTCTGAAAGGAATTAATAGTCACTATCCTCTTGGTTAAAACATTTCAAGGAGGAAGGGGGAGCAATTTGCGATAGAGTTAGACTGCTTGCTTCTCTCTGGGCATCTCAGTCAAAACATTTAAAGAACATTCCTTTCAGAATAATCATTTTTTATCCTGAGGGGGGAGGGGGATGGAAATTGCTTTGATTGAGTTCATTGAGAAAACAATTTGGAGGTTTGAGTCGCTATGTATAGTTGGTTGAAATATGCCAACTTGCATGCTTATAGCTTATGCAATATATGTTGATATTATTACAAGATGAGCAGCATGCACATGCCTTTCAGTCTGCTTCATCAGTGTAAAACAATGAATTTTTTGTTCTATTTGCTTTTCTCTGCAGGTTCATGAAAAGGAATTTCTGCTGAAGGACTTGACAACCGAAGGTTTACTTGGTGATGATAGAAGATTAGGTGAAGTTTGTTCCAAGAGAGTGTACAGAATACTTATGGCACAAAGTGGATGCATCAAAACTGATGATGTCGAGGATGGTGCTGATTTCTTCAGGCGTTAAATTTCACTTATATGGGCAAAATCAGGTGCGCATATGCTTGTTCCTCTTCATCTAAAAATTTATTCTGCAATAGAGCCATTTCTTTTTGTTCTTTGTGTGTCAAATACGACTCTTCAATTAATTTCCTCTTTTGTCCTTTTTTGTTAGTAAAGCAGCAAATATTTTACATGGATGATGAATTAAGTTTTATAAAGGGTCAATTACAAAATGCAGACCTGATTTATAGGTCGATTTCAATTTAGCACCCAATCTATAAATTCATTCAATCTACACCCTCCATCACTTTGTGCAGATGTTGCTATTTTACTCTGTTCTTGTTATTGCTTCTGCTTCATCAAGATCGTATTGCTCATAGAAGTTTGGAACTGTGTCTAGAGTGTAAGGTCACTTTTCCTACCATGTTTTTCTTACCGTGCTGCAAATTGGAATCCATGTGAGATTTGAGTGTTTTTTTTTAACCCTCTAAGTGAATGATTATTCTAAAATGCCAACACTGTCTAGCTGAGTGGAAAAGGCTCAGGTTCAAACCCTCGTGACACCTTGGCAATGTGTGCATAAGAAAACCCCCTTTACTCTTCCTAACTTTGATAAATAAAAAATAATAATATAAAAGATAAAGTAAAAAATAAAAGATAAATTTTAAAATTCTAAAATGAAATCGGGCCTTGTGGGCTTCACAACCTTATGAAATTATGGTGGGACATTCAACTCCTTTCCACACCCATATTGGTGGGTTCACTCCTCCACTAAGCCAACCCCACACGTTGGGCCCCTACCACTAGTAATTGATACCCAAATGACACATCAGTAGTGGGTTATCCTATTGAACAGTAAAACAGGTCCGCCACCATCTTGGTCCACGTGTACTCTCTCTCTCTCTCATGATTCCATTTCATATAACGAGGAAAGCACAGTACCTACTCCAGCTATGGTGTCACCAAACTTCTCCACTAAGAAAAAAAATGTTTACTTTGTTGTGTATAATTATTTGCCTCCTGATTGCACCTTGTATACTGCTTGCTTATTATGATAATTTTGTTTTAAATTTCAGTATTTAGTACTTGTATTGGACGCTATAAAAGACATCATTTATATTAGAAAGATAATTAAATACTAATATGCAAAAACTTAGTTTTGAGTATAAGCACAATTGGGAAAATTTACAGCATCCGAGTTTAATTAATTTTGTGGGTGTCAAATGCTCTTTGCTCATAAATTACTTAGCATATTCCATATATAATTATCTAAGCAACTACCCTGAGTAATATTATTAATTGTCCGCCACCATATCCTAACGCAGATTTTGTCCTGCGCACAATTCCCAATAATTCAGTTCTTTAATCATCAAGTAAGGCATGTCATGGCCCATGCATACCGCACTTGGTTATTTGGGTTGCTATTCTGAGTTTCTCACACCGCATATATATTTGGAACTGAAAGGTACTCTTGTAAGGCCTCCCTCTCCCTGAGCAAGTTCTGTAATGGAGAAGAGCAAATCATTTTCCGGCTACTACTCGACCGGCTACACGGAGGCCCAGTTTGGGTTTGAGGACCGGTCGAAATCATACAGCTTCAATGGTCCGGTCAGCTGCAGCAAGGTAGATGAGTTGTCTTCAACATCTGGCAATCCAGAGCTGGAGAGAAGGAAGAGGGTGGCAAGCTACAACATGTATGCTGTGGAAGGTAAGTTCAAGTCTTCGTTGCGCAACAGTTTCAAATGGATTAAGGGCAAGTTTGTTGACAACTTCTACGATGAGTAGTGAACTAAACCGAATCCTCTTACTTTTTTATTTTCTTGTCAAAGTCAAGTAAGGTTCCAATTACTGTACAGTTTGTCAAGACCTGGTTAATTTGTAATGAATTTCTTGGGATTGAATCCAATGATTGATATATAAAATGGTTTTGACTACTCTTGAATTAAGCTGCTCTTGCAAAGGAACATGCTTCTTTTCCTTTGCTATCGGTTTCTTTTTCTGTATTTTAAGCCTAGCCTTTTATTTATTTATTTATTTATCCAGATGTATAATTGTTTGTCTTCTATGGTTGTTGATGCTTTAGGTTATCATATCACAATATCACACAAACCTAATCATTTGTGATATTAGCTTCTACTTTACGGTACTATATCTAAAATTACAACAATTACCAGCAGTTGTATTGGAGATGTGTGGGATTCAGTCCTTTAGGATTGGATGGTGATCAAATCAGACAACTTACTTTCACCCTTTAGTCTTACTCCATTCTTCATCAACTAGAACCTCCGCTACATTAGGGTAGGTTTTCAATTCCTTTCGTCTGAATTTCCTATAACTTCTACGCCAAACAAAAGAAGAAAAACAGTTCTTACCTTCTCTTGATTTAGCAAATAGTCCTTCATTAAATCTACAAATGAAAGAGCACTATAGGGGGCATGCACATAGCCGGAGGCATGACAAATAGTTTTGTCCTTTTAAAGTACGAACGATTATTATTCAATCTAAGATAGCTTGAGTACAATCACGAAGTAAACCCTGTGCAAGACAACAATCAGATGATCTGAGGCAAATCGGTATGCTACCAGTCAAAAACCTTGTGGCGCTAAAATCATATCAGAATTTTAACAGTGAATTCAACAGAGTTTTCTTTGTACAAGGACAAGTGTCAATCCATGTGAAGGGAGAAGGTGACCTATTTGTAAGGTTTCTTGGGGTCTAAGGTAACATTAAACATAGGGCATGCAGAGAACCAAGTCCACCAAAGCGTTGGTGGTGGTGGCCCCAGGAAAATTGGGGTTTCCTGTTAATTTAAAGGATTGAGAAGAAACAAAAAGTATGCTTATATTGATATTTTAAAGGAAGCGATTAATGAAGGTGATTTGGGTCCTGAATGAGGATGAATGAGGTTGGGTTGGAGCTAATTAAGGCTTGATGGAGAGACTTAAGGCATGATGGAGGCATGAATCTACTGGCTGCCTTCAAAATTCTTCAGCAGCTCCTATGTCGGATTCTTTGTGGACCTTTCTGATGCAAGCATTGGCATAAGATCCTCTGCCAATTATTTTGGAATGTGTTTTGGGTTTACGGGTTAAGCATTTTGGCCCCTCCCATGATTCTTGTCTTCATTTGTTGAGATTTATTGAAATTTTCTCCTTCACCAAGGATTTTTTTGGTCTACCAGAGATACCAGCCTAACTTTCTCTCTTGTATTTTTATATATATTTTTAGCTTGGGTTAGCATGCCGTACCTTCTTTAGTACCTCGGCTTGTACCCAGTTGAAGCTTCCGATACATTTGGCGCCTAATTTCGACTTACTGCAGTCAAATCCCGGCCACATTGTTCAAACTCCCAGTTGAAGCTTCCGATACATTTGGCACCTAATGGTCTTTCGACTTACTGCAGTCAAATCCCGGCCACATTGTTCAAACTCAGACCGAAGTCTCACATCAAATTCGACCACTGCTTCCAAATTTAACTTGCCCCTCTGGCTTATCCCTGATGGTATGGCATCCGGGACAAATCTAGAACAAACACATGTAAAATACTGGTACAAATTTGTTAGCAAATCATGTCTATGGTAATCCAACACAATTGTTTCTTGGACAAGTTTAGAATAAAAGATCATTGATATATTACTACTTTTCTGTAATCATTAGTTCAGGCAAAACTAACTTCCCTTAATGTTCCCTAGAGAATTTTGCATAAGTGATTTAGTAAAGAAAGGGTCCCAGATACAGATTTATTTATGAGTGGTGATTTCCCCACTCATTTTTCTCCTATTTTATCCACTTACACTCCTTTTTTATAACTAAAAAAGGAGTGTAAGTGGATAAAATAGGAGTGGGGAAATCATTACCCTTATTTATAGCACAAAATCATACAATGGAAAAACTGAGACCGAAAAAAAGTGGGGAAAAGAATTATAAGCTTCTAGGCCAGGAGTAGAACAGCTTGAGGTGATAAGATTTGTTCCAATTGTCTACTCTTTGTCCAGTCCCAACAATTATCACATCTTCTCCGGATCAAGATTTCGGAAGTCCAATGTAGAATGAGATCTGCGATAATAGGACAGTGCACTGCCTTCAGTATGGTTGATGATATCTGTTATAGAGGCATGCAAGAGGGGAAAGTCCTTGATGTTTTTAAGAACATCAGGGTTGATGTTCTTGAGAGCAGTAGGATGACCCTCAGTGGTCGGGAATCGTTTTTTATGAGAACGGATTATTGGAGAAAGAGATGCATGCAAGTTCTCATATATGCTTGGTTTAAAACTGGAGGAAGTGATGCTGCTTGCACTGTTGCTCCCCATCTCTTGGCTATGCATGCTTCCCATCTCTTGGCTATGCATGCTTTCCATATCCTGGCTTTGCGAACTTCCCGTAGCTTGGCGGTAGATGTTCGGTTCTGCATTCTTTTCCAGCAGAAACTAAAGAAAGAGAAAAGGATTTACACCATGAGCTATATATCATATACCATGTAACTTCATAAATAGGAAAAGTAATCCAAAATTGAGTCTGATTAATCAAACAAAAATGCAAAACTAAGGATTTACCTTATTAGAAGATTCCAACTCTCCTCTGACCTCTTGGACCTTGCTTTGATGACGTTCACGATTTTTTTGAGACAATTGTTTTGGTTTGGAAGCCCTCCTTATATCAGATGGAAAAGCACAATTAAAGTAATTCATATGTTGGGTGTGTTGACAGCACATAACATCCATTTTATATCTAAACAAGATAATTTAAATCCATTGTGGTTTTGTAGCATTTAATTGAAAGTCCTTGCCACTTTCAGATTTTCTTTTGTTTTAGATTCAGGGAAAGCTTTCGTTCATTGCGTCTTTTCCTAGTCTTTTTTTGTGAGGCTTGTTTCTGCAATGTCTCCATTACTGAAAATGAAAGTTTTTCCTCTACACGGGACTAGAACATAATGGACAAATTTGTACTCAATTGAACACCACTGAAAAAACCTAAAAGAGCAGATTCTAAGTTTCTAACATCTTACGTAGGAAGGAAAAGGTAATTCAAAATGCTAATGAATTGGAAATTTTAAAGGTTATCTTTGTGTTATAAAAAAAGTAAGATCGGTTTTTTGGTTGCACATATAAAAGTAAGATTTCAAATGGTAAAAGTTTAATAAAAAGGGAAATTAGTAAAACATATATCTTAATTTTTCATCCAATCAAATTCAAATGTTATCTTGTGCTATCTTTCTTCTTTCGGCCTATTATTTATTAAATAAATCAAAATAATGACAGTAAATTGCATATTATCAATTTAAATAACGTACTTCCTCCGATCCCTGGTGTGAATCCACTCATCCTCTCCTTTATACATTACCGGTAGAGCTGAAAGGTCGCATGCCAACGGACTTGAACTAAAGAACTGAAAGCAGAAAGAATTTAGTATTTATAAATACATGTTGAGCAGAAGTACATCAAACAATCAAAAGGAAAATACTAAAATATATCACTAAGACATCTTTCCTTTCTCATTGCTATTTCTTCACTCATTCTGCTCTTAGAGCGACCAAATTTTTTCTTAAAGGTCAAGTTGTCCGCATAGACGCAGTTCATACTTGAAATTGTACTCATAAACTTTCATCCAACTCGTAAAGTAAAAGAGTAACAGCATGGCATCTTAATTTTATCTCCCACAAAGAAAAATAAATTATGTATCTGGTTGCTGAAACAAATCAAAGATGACATACAACTGATAATGCTAATCCTTTTCGCCAAAAGAGAGAGAGAAGAGAGAGAGAAGAGAAATTATGCTATGAATTCATCATTATACAAAGCAATGATGACCTGCTAGACATTGACCATAAACTCTTAGTCAATTCAGAACAAATTCATGATTATGTTAATCTAACAAAACAGAGAGATTCAACATTTCATGTAGCACTAACTATTCAAACTCCTGATAATTTCACTGCATGAACTTCTTCAGTTGCAGAGAATGGGCAAGCAAACTAAAAGAGAGGGGACTAAAAAGAAGGTATGGAAAATATTGATTACACAAAGAAAGAGCTTCCTGTTTGTACTCACGTCACTTTGGAGAGCAGAAGCAGCAGTGCCACGAGATGCCGGGTACAGAGCAAGAAGTGTTGTCAAGAGACCAAATGATGATGTTGAGAAGTCCCTAAAGAATTCTTCAAAACTAGGTTTGTAATGTTGTGGTGGTCGGAAGCTTGTTGGTAGCTTCATTTTCTTCCAGTAATCATCTCCGGGTGAACCACAAAGCTTGAAGATCCTATGAAGTTGCTCAACCTGAATACAAAAATGCTCAATAGACTAAAGAGTGCCACAAATGAGATGGTTACATGCATAGGCTTACAGAAAAAGCGTATTTCAGTAATGCATAAAATAAAACCAAAATCCAATAAGATTTATTTCCAGCATAGAAATTAAAATATAAAATAAAACTTATGTTGAATGTACAGAAACAAACAAAAACGAAAGTGCTTATGTGAAGAAGAATACATGAAAGATGCAATTGTTTCATTTTGCAGATGCCTCCCTAATTGCTCAAGATTTTTGTAATGGAGCGATGATTCATTTGTATTACCAACTCATGTGAGAAGGCAATAGAGCTCATTTAGTTTTCCTGGAAAGTCAGAATGCACAGATAATGAAGTTTAAAGAGAATAACTCACTGTCAAAGCATTTTACCTCTGTTCTCCCAGGCATAACCGGTCTCCCAACAAACATTTCTGCCAATAGACATCCTGCACTCCAAAGATCAATACCAACTCCATAATCTGTAGAACCTAACAACAGCTCTGGTGCTCTGTACCACAGTGTCACAACTCGGCTCGTAAGAGGACGTTTTTTGGGAGGGAAAAAATTTGCAAGCCCAAAATCTGCAATTTTGAGCA